ACCAAAACCTCTGCTGCCGTCCTTGACCTCCTTCTGACCTCCACCTCTGTCCTTGACCTCCTCCCGTGTATGACCAACACTCTGCTGCTGTCCTTGACCTCTTTCTGACCTCCACCTCTGTCCTTGACCTCCTCCCATGTATGACCAAAACCTCTGCTGCCGTCCTTGACCTCCTTCTGACCTCCACCTCTGCCCTTAACCTCCTCCTCAGTCCTTGACCCCCTTCCTTCTCCATCCCTACCTCTAGGGCTGTCCCTGACCTCCTCCTGTGTGTACATCCCAACTCCACCTCTGCCCTTGTCCTCCTTCTGTGTGTACGTCCCTGTCCCCTGCTGCCATCCAGGACTCTGCCCCATCCCTGACCTCCTTTCCTGTGTACCTCCTGACCTCTGCCACCATTCTTGGCTTCCCTCAGTGGGTACATCCCACACACTGCTGTGCCTCCTTTGACCTCCTTCCCTAGTGCCTCCTGCTCTCCGCCCGTCCTGGACCTCCTTCCCTGTGTGTCCCAACCTCCACTCTAGTCCTTGACCTCCTTCTGTGTACCTCCCAACTAGTGCATGGTCCTCAGCCACTTGTCTGTGTGTGACCTGTTTTTGACCACTGCCCTTGGTCATCTTCCCTGTGTGCACCCATGACTTCAGCCACTGCCCTCGACCTCCTCCCTGTGTGTGTCCATGACTTCAATCACTGTCCTTGACCAGCTTCCTCTGTGTGTCCATGACCTTGACTGCTGTCCTCTACCTCCTTCCTGTGTGTGTCCTCCACCTCCACTGCTGCCCTCGACCTCCTTCTATGTGTGTCCTCCACCTCCACTGCTGCCCTCGACCTCCTTCCTGTGTGTGTCCTCCACCTCCACTGCTGCCCTCAACCTCCTTCCTGTGTGTGTCCTCCACCTCCACTGCTGCCCTCGACCTCCTTCCTGTGTGTGTCCTCCACCTCCACTGCTGCCCTCGACCTCCTTCTGTGTGCCCATGACTTCAACCACTCTTCTTGACCAGCTTCCTGTGTGTGTCCATGACCTTGACTGCTATCCTCTACCTCCTTCCTGTGTGTGTCCTCCACCTCCACTGCTGTACTCGACCTCCTTCTGTGTGTGTCCATGACCTTGACTGCTGTCCTCTACCTCCTTCCTGTGTGTGTCCATGACTTCCACTGCTGTACTCAACCTCCTTCTATGTGTGTCCATGACTTCAATCACTGTCCTTGACCAGCTTCCTCTGTGTGTCCATGACCTTGACTGCTGTCCTCGACCTCCTTCCTGTGTGTGTCCATGACCTCCACTGCTGCCCTTGACCTCCTTCTATGTGTGTGTCCTCCACCTCCACTGCTGCCCTCGACCTCCTTCCTGTGTGTGTCCATGACTTCCCCTGCTGCCCTCGACCTCCTTCCTGTGTGTGTCCATGACTTCCCCTGCTGCCCTCGACCTCCTTCCTGTGTGTGTCCATGACCTCCACTGCTGCCCTTGACCTCCTTCTGTGTGTCCATGACTTCAACCACTCTTCTTGACCAGCTTCCTGTGTGTGTCCTCCACCTCCACTGCTGTCCTCGACCTCTTCCCTGTGTGTGTGGGTCCATGACTCCCCTGCTGCCCTCGACCTCCTTCCTGTATTGACCATGACCTTGACTGCTGCCCTCGACCTCCTCCTGTGCTGACCGTGACTTCAACCACTCTTCTTGACCAGCTTCCTGTGTGTGTCCTCCACCTCCACTGCTGCCCTCGACCTCCTCCTGTGCTGACCGTGACTTCAACCACTCTTCTTGACCAGCTTCCTGTGTGTGTCCTCCACCTCCGCTGCTGCCCTCGACCTCCTTCCTGTATTGACCATGACCTTGACTGCTGTCCTTGACCTCCTCCCTGTATGTGTCCATGACTTCAACCACTCTTCTTGACCAGCTTCCTGTGTGTGTCCTCCACCTCCACTGCTGCCCTCGACCTCCTCCCTGTGTGTGTGGGTCCATGACTCCCCTGCTGTGTAGATGGGGTGTGACTGGAAGTCATCACTCAGGCGTGTCTTTAGGGTTGCTGTTGTGTCTTTGCTGAGCAGAGCTCTCTCTGCTTCTGGCTGTTTTCATGTCCTGAGCTGCTGTCCTCTGCCTCGACCTGCTGCCACCATGTTCCACTTCACCTGGGCCCAGAGCCCAGAGCGATGGAGTCGGCCACGTATGGACCGAGTCCTCTGAAACCGTGAGCCCAGATCAGCTCCCTCCTTTAAACTGTCCTCGTCAGGTCTTTTGGTTACAGAGACAAAACAGCCAACTCACCCCGTTGGGATATGGCTCAGTGGAGAGCATTCCAGGGTTCGAGCACCAGCACCTCCCCTCTGTGCCCCCTAGACCTTGGGCCTGACCTTCTCTGCTGTGGCCACTCAGCGTGGTCTTGCAGCACAAACAGCCTGGCTGTGCTCCAGTCAAACCTCCTTTGCCAAACACTTGGAGGGTGCGTGCCACAACCACCGGTGGGCTGGGGTCTGCCGGCCTGGGTTCAGAGACGAGGAAAGGTGTTCTGGAGAAAGTCACTTGTTTGAAAAGGTGACTTGTACCTCGGTTCGGAATTCAGGATGGTGTGGTATTGTGGTGAAAGTGGAATTGCTCACGCCTGCCACCTCTTCCTCGGGGGGAGGCGCTCTTGCCCGTGGCTGTGAAGTTCTGGGTGGATGGTTTGCTTGTATTATAAGCTGTACCCGTAGATTTGAGTGAGGTTTGGTGTTTTTGCAGCTGGGGTGACCAGGGCTGTGCACGTGCCAGGCCAGTGCTGTCCCTGGAGCCTAGGCAGCCCTGAGTGGTGTGTTGAGTCCACACTCACAGTAAGTGAGCTGCCTGGTGCTGTGTGGAGAGCAGGTGCCGCAGCGTCTGGATGTGGCTCTGTCCACCAAGGGCACCAGGCTGCGGGGACCTGTGCACCTCCAGTCCTCCTGCAGTGGAGGAGGCTTGGTCTTTCCATCCCCGCTGCAGGTGAGGTGGGTGAGCTCCGCGTCTGCCCGGGCATTCTGGCCACAGAGATGCTGGCGTGAGGAGGATCACCTGCGCTGTCGGGAAAGCTCCTGAGGGGTCTCTGTGCCTGGAGCCTCCTGCAGGCTGTGCTGCTCACCCAGCCGCTGGGCGTGGAATCCCTTGGGGACCTTTCAGTGGGTGCTTCGTTGGGAGATAAGACAGCAGAACCACCTCTCTGTCCCTCCCCACTGGGCCAGTGCCTCTGGCAGTAGCCCAGTGCTTCCCCAACTTACCTGCAGTCTGTGGGTCTGTCCGAGGCGGGACATCGGGCAGCAGGCATGGGATGAGGGTGAGGGAGGATGGAGGCTGCCCGCACAGCAGCCAGCTGGGGTGAGCTCCCGGGCACTCAGCTGGTGCAGGAGTCCAGCTGCCGGGGTCCCCTCTGGACCCTCAGTAGCTCTCTGTCTCTGGGTAGGGAGGAGGCCTGCACAGTTCGTGAAGGGCCGGGAGTAGATATTGTAGAGGCCTTGAGGCCGCGTGTCTCCATCTCGGCCTCTGAGGCGTCTGAGGAGAGCAGCCACACACAGGCAGGCAGGCAGGCCCAGCTGCTTCCCAGGCCTTGGCTGGCCTGTCCACTCAGAAGGGCCCGTTGCTTTCCCTCGTTCCCCCTCTTGCTGAGTGTGTGATGAGGATGCAGAGGTTCGGAATTCAGGATGAAGGGGTCAAAGTGAAATCAAGAGGCTGTTTGGGGACAGGAGGCCGAGGATCAGTGCTGTCTGTCCTTCAGCCTGGGGGCCTGGCCCCCAGGCCCTGTGGTTTTCATCCTTGCCTCTAGCTGGACGGCTGGACTTGGCCATCCATCTCAGTCTGTCAGCCACTCAGCATACTAATTAGTCTGGGAAAGGCCTGTCAAGTGTGTGGACGTTTCGTTTGATGCCTTCCTACAAAAACCGCGTTTGAATCGTTTATACCGCACGGTGGTGCTCACTAAATGCGTGTGGCATTAACGTAAATATCCTCTTATTCTAGTGGTCTTCCAAAGAGAGGAAATTCATCGCTTTCTCTGCTTAATGTCCTTGGCCCTCGGTATTTTGTCTTTCTGTGTAATAGAACCACTGGAGTCCACAGTTCAAATGATTTTCTCTCATTCTGTCCTTAGGGTTCATGATGAAAGGCTTCACTTTCCTTACAAAGAACAGGAACAGGGCAGTTCAGTTGGAATCTGTTCCAGCGCTTCTTTTGAAGAGCGTGGAACGGTCAATTCTGGAGTGGTTTTCCCACGGAGTCCTGTGCCCTCCTGCAGGGTGTGTGTGCCTCCTAGGCCCTTGGCCTTCCTGAGGGGCAGGGGCACTTTCTCTTACTTACAGAGCTTCAGACTCTTGCTGAGTGTGTGCTGCTGAGGCCTCTCCTGCTGGGCCTTGAGGGAGCCCAGAGGGGGCTGGAGTCTGCTGAGTGGGGTGGAGGGCTCAGCTCCCAGCCCGGGCCCCGGGGAGAGTCTGGAGGCTGGACATCTGTGCGGGGAGGGCCCGTGTGATTTCCAGTCCTGCTCCATGCCCCTGTGCCTTTCTTTGGCGATCCCTCTGCCCTGGGGCTTTCCTTGGGACCCTTCTGCAGTGTCCCACGGATGCCGCTCTGGTGTGCTGGAACGATGTGCTGGATGTCGATGATTCGGTGGAGTACAAGGCCAGTTTGGGCAAACACCCGAGGCCTTGTTCTACAGAAATGCCTTCTTCAGACCAGCGGGTTCATACAACTCATCACGTCCTCTGAGCCAGCGTTGGCAAATGTGTGTCGAGTGCTAGGTTTTTCCCCATCAACCTGCAGCTAATTCACGGCGAGGTGTGCGTCATCGCCTGGAATCCCTCAGCCCGCCTGTTGCCACTGCCCTTCCCCGGGTCTGGACGGGGTCATGGTCTTAACTCCCCGGCCCTGCGTCAGCAGCTGAGGCCTTCCTGGACTGTGGCCCTGGCCGCTGGCTCACGTGTGACGTGCCCCCTGTGGGCTCAGAGGCAGAGTCCACTAGCTGCGGCCGAGAGCAGCTGGCCCCCGTGGTGAGCACTTCAACTCGCCCTTCATAGAGAATGCTTGCTGACCCGGGTCTGGTGGGACCGGTTCTCTCTCCTTGGGGGCTGTCCTCTGGACACCAGGCTGTGACTTTTCCAGAATCTGATTCTGCTTATTCTCACGCCCCTGCTTCACTCGGAGTGGATAAGGTTGTCACCAGGGCTGTGGCCGTCCCGTGTCCATGGGGTCAAGTTGCCTTTCCGGCTCAACTCGGCACCTAGTTCCTGTGCTCTGCCTCTCTCGGGTTTCTTCAGCATCTGCCCCCTGGTGTCTGTGGATGCCATTTCCTCGGAGGTGACCTCCATCTGAAGTTGGACTGCACAGTTTGTCACCTGTGTGTGTGTCCTTCACAGCCCGGGCCTGTGGGTACACTTGTCATTTGCACGTTCTTGCCTTTCTTCTCTGCCTCCCCCTCTGGGAGGAAGGTTTTGGCTGTAAGGAACTTGACTGTGCTGTTGACAGACCCGTCTGTCAGGCCAGCAGCCACCCTGCTGGAGGTGCACAGTGGGATGCTTCTGCCCGTTCCCAGGGAGGAGTTTGTCTTGGTCAGTCTTGCGTTGCCATAATAGAATACCTGCTACTAGGTAGTGAATAAAGCAAAACAGTTCACTTCTTATTGTGGGAATGGGAAGTTCAAGGCTGGGGGCTGCATCCTGCTGGTGGGGGCCTTCTTGCTGGTGGAGACTCTGCAGAGGCCTGAGGTGTTCAGGGCTTCAGGAGCCTCCAAATGACAAACTGCCTCTCATAGCAGACCCGCTCGAGGTGACCTGTGAGTCCAGCAATCCGTGAGTGGATTAGTCCTTTCAATAATTAATCTCTTCCTAGAGGTTCCTCCTGGTCCTGCCTCTTAATACCTCACAGCAGGGATTAAACTTCAACCTAGGTTTTGGGGCAGGGTTAAAAGCCAGCCTGTGCCGACACACCTTAATTTAACTTCTTCATTGGAGTGAGACCTGGCCCACTTCTGCACCGCTGTGACCTCAAGGTGCCCTTCCTCCACCACGTGCTCTGCTGGCCTGCCCGGGCAGGGGACCGGAGTGCCAGTGTGGGACGTCGTGCACCTGTGCCTGCTCTGCGCTCACGGGTCAGTGCTTTGACCGCTGTGCGTTTCCGGAACGCTTCTTGCTGCTGGCAGAGGAGCAGCTTGGACTTAGGAGTGAGTTCTGCTTTGGGCGCCTGCTGTACTACAAAGGGCTTTATGTTTCTCTGCTGCTTAAAAAAGTGCTGCTTTCCTGCTAAGCCCAGGATAAAAAGAACCAGGCAGCGTCTTGGAGAGTATTAATTCCTTGACCTGGTGAAGCTCCTCCGGCACGCTCTTTCCTGAGCTCCCTGCTCCCGTCCCCAGTCTCTTGTTTGTCATCATGGTGTGACGCAGACGCTGACCCCTTGCTGCTGGGGTCTTAGACCGAGGGACCTGGGGTCATCACAAATGCTCTGTAAATGCAGCACAAATGGTCTGGGCTGCGGGTCTGTCCTGCTCTGTCCTTCCCACAGTGAAATCCACACACAGAGCCTCCTCCGCCTGCTGGGGGCTCTCGTGGCTCAGGACAGAGGGGCTCAGTGGCCGTGGTCTCCCACGTTCGTGCATGGCAGGCAACTCCTGCCAGTCTTGCTGATGGACACGGGCTCTGCCGTCCACCCACCTGGGTTTGAGATCTGGCTCTCCCTCCAGCCAGCCCCTCGCCCCGAGCAGGCACGTAGCTTCTTGGAGCCTTCATGAGCTCGTCTGTGAAATGGCTGCTGCCAACGTTGTCCTCTGTTGGGAGAATCGAGGGCAAGTGTATTGTTCAGTTTCTGGAACTTTGCGGCACTCAAAAATGAGCACTAGTGTTTGATTTGGTTTAAAAAGTGTAAGACTTGGTGAAGGGCACCCTGAGAAGAACGAGATCTAAAAATCCTGTTCTGATCCGGTTTCTGAGTGGTCTGAATCCAGAGCTCAGCTTTGGGTCCTTCTCTGGTAGGACAGACGCTGACCTGGTGTTGTCACGAATGCTCTGTCAATAGAGGGAAAATGGCCCGGGCTGCGGGTCTGACCCTGGTCTGGTTTTCTGCAGAGAGGAGCTCCAGTTTGGTTCTCCGACCAGGAAACCGGAGGTCTGTTCCTTCTGTGGTCACCTCCCCTGGTTAAACCTCGCACCCCTCGAGGCCCTTCCAGATGCCCTGGCGTCCCGACTGCTGCCCCTGATTTGCGATCTGCTCTGTTTTCCACGCTATAGAATGGAAAGGAGCATACTGGGGTCAGAGATGGCACCGTGGCTTCCAGGATTCTCAGAGAAGAGACATCACTTGTCATAGCAGGAGTTTCAGGCCCGGGGCCTTGGATTCTAGTCCTGACGCTCACGTAAGCAGCACAGTGGCCGTGGGTCTCCCCGACTTTCCTGCTTCCCCTGTGAGAAGGACACTCCTGGCTCTAGTGAGATGAGAGTTCACTCGGCTCAGGGGCGCGTTTATGATGCTAAGGAGGGTGAGATTTTCTGGTTCTTCCTATTGTAAATTGCGGTTCTCTCTCCGTGATTGTTGAGTGATTCAAGTGTAAAGATTCCACAGTTAGAGTTTAAAAATACCTCTCCAAATGCGTTTAAAACGAACAGCAGGCCCCGTGGGCACTCTTCTTTTTATCACTTGAGCGATCACCTACAGTTTTTTATTCTAGTGATTGCCGGTGTCTACTTCTTACACGTTTCCTCCTCCATTATGTTTTTGCATTAAAAATAAGAGTTAGGAGCTTATCTTGGGCACCCTCCCATGGATGTGCGAGTGTTAGCTCCTTTAATCCTCACACCAACCCAGGAGCACTGGCCCCGGGGTGTCCTTCGCTTTCTCTCATCCTAAGTGGGGGGGACCCCTCTGTTCCTCTGTTGGAGTTTGAGAACTTTGCCCAGGGCTAATTAGTTGGTTAATGAATTTCTTTGTAGTGTGCAAAGTGGGGCAACCTAGGTGGAGAGTGGTCAGGAGCTTTGCAGTTAGATGAAAGGTGGATTCATTTTCAAAGGGGCCCCTTCCTCCCGTCCTCCTCCCTCTGACCTTACTTTCACGGACAGGCTTCTGAGGGCGGACTTGGCTTTCCGCTCTGCCAGGTGTTTTCGTGCTGAGAGAAGCGGTCAGGCTGGCAGGAACACATTCAGCCCTCTGCCTCCGCCCGTCAGGGTTCCCGCTCTCCTGCACGACGGCCTCCGTCAGGGCTCACTTTGAGCCACTGGGCTTTTATTTGACGGCACTCATTGGTACAGGTTGAGCGGTGGCTGTCTTTTTGTTGACAATGACGTCTGCTTGAAGGCTGGTATCTCCCAGATAGTGTGACCCAGGTAGAGCTGTGGGTCTTCCTGGCACACGGGGTGCCATTGGTGAGTCCTGAGATGCTCAGTGTGTGGCTCTTGGCCTGCCGTGGCCCATGTGCCTTCTGCCCCAGGCCTGCAGGGGGAGGGAAGGGCCTGTCCCTCTGGGTTTACAGCTGGGTTCCCTGTTTGTATTCCAGTCCGGTGCTGCCGTCGAGAGCTGGAGATGAGGTTTACCAGCCTCTTCACAGCCAGCAGCAGGAGCTTCGGGCGAGGTGGCGTCTCTGTAACCGCACAGGTCTCTGCCCCCGCCTCCCTCCAACCTGCCCCAGGACCCAGGCCACCTTAGGGGAGGGCACAGCCCTGCGTGCAGGCAGGTTGAGATAGACGGGGGCACAGTTCTCTGCCTGGCTTGATAACTTCCTCCGAGGCCTGTGTGTAGGTAGATTGATTTTCATTGCACAGATAATAAATGAGTCCATCTCCAGAGTTGGCCCCTGTCCTGAAGAGTGTCTCCCTGAAGGGCCGCTCCCAGGGTGCAGGGCTGGGTGTTGGAGTTTTCATGCCGGCCACTGGTCCTTCTGGGGAGTGGGTGCTTGGTGTGGGTGGGCACGTGTGCAAAGCTGTTTGTGGGCCCTGACAGTGCCAGCGTGGTCCTCCAGCCCTCCTGAAGCACCCTCTTCCTTCTGGCGGGATAGTGCACCCAGCTTGTGTCCCCCATTCCCTGGTCCCTGCCCCCTCGTGGGCCCTTGGCCAGGCTCCTCTGGGCCACCTTCCGGAGCGAGGCCCTGGTTCTGCAGAGGGGGTGAGGGCAGTGGGAGGGCCTGGAGGTGGAGGGGGCCAGGTCCTCCGGGGGGTGCCCACACTGCCTCTGTACCCCACTGGTTCCCGCCCTCCATGGTGCTATTTCTGTCCCCTGCAGGCCTCTAATTTCACAGCCGCGGGGTGGGGGACGGTGCCTTGGTGCCTTGGTGATGGCCTGTTCCCGAGCAGCCATTGCATCCTGTGCTTCGAGTCCTGTGGACTCTGCCGGCTTAGGCATTGTCTTTTCATCTCCACTCTCTCTGGGCCCCTCAGTCCCCAAGCCTCTGCTGCCTCTGCTCCCGGCTCCCACAGGCCCTCGGATCTGTGGGTGTGTGCTTCCCTTCCCTCCAAGCTGAGATCTAGCAAGGTGGCCACGCTGGTCCAGAGGGCTGGCTGGAGAACGGTGCCGTTTTTAAGATGGTCCCTTGTCCCAAGTCCAGTGCAGGAGGGGGGGGGTGGGACCCCCAAAGCCCAGGGGCGAACATCCACAGAGGCTATGTTGGGGACTCACGATCTTCAGGAGGGAGCAGGCACCACTGGGAGGGTGGGAGAACTCGGGGTCATCGGGCCAGCGGACCCTGATGAGCTGTTGCTCTGGGGTTCTGGGCCCCGCTGCTGTTACGCAGGGCTTCTGTAGGAAATCTGACGTCCTTCCTTAACCATTACGGCATGCTGGGCTTGGGGTCTTGGCCCACATGACCAGGGACCTTGAGCCGGAATCTTGCGATAAGCCATTTATCTGTTTGTCACAAAGACAGAGCAGCATCTGCCAGTGACATTGGGAGGTGGCCTTTGTCACAGGCAGCAGTTTCTCAAGATGGCTGTGAGCTTACTCTCCTAAGAGCTGCAATTCAAACCCAGTGTGGAGATGTGACTGTTTAAAGGAGTGTGGAGACCAGGCTGTACAGAGACCCGTGATTACGTAACGCTCTCACAAAGACCAGGGCTCCAAAGGAACCGTCTCCCAGGCTCCCTCTTCAGAGAGCCTGGCTCTGCACGTTTGTGGGTGCCTGGGCTATGTCCTCTGCTGGACCCTCTGCCTCTTTGAGGCTCTGCACACCCTGGTGGAGACGGGGAAGGTGCCAGGATGGGAAGACAGAGACTGGGTGTGGCCCGAGTAATGCCAGCTTCCCGGCTGGGACTCCCCACCACGCCTCAGCGGGCTTCAGCGAAGGCAGTGCCCAGGAGGAGGGAGGCTGGGAATGACAGCTACAGGAAGCAGAGAAACCATGTCACCTCTCATGAGCGTGTGACCCACTACAGCGCGGGAAGCTTACTCTAACGTGCAGGATATATAAATGCTTCGTTAGTAGCCGTTCAGGTTCACGTCAGCGTTCATCAGTTAACGGTTCTTCTCCCCCACGCTGTACCCATCCGTTTGCTTGGTGAGTTTCTTCTCGCCTCCTGCCCCTGAAGATGCAGAAGTAAACCTGGGTTGCTCCCTCTGGACGTAGCACCGAGCCTCAGTAAGTGGAGATGGCTTGGTGGAGTCCAGGCCAGGTTGGTGACGGGCTCCAGGTTTTCCACTGAGCACGAGTTGGTGGTTAGTCTCACTTGCTCTGAGGAGTGATGGGCGGGGCGTGGGCCCTGGCTGTGGACCTGTGGGCACTGTCTTGGTTTTCAGTTAAGAGCGGCGCACTCGAAGCCGGCTCTCATTTAAGCCAGTGTGGGAGCAGTCAATATGTATCATGTGTCTCTGAAGCTGGGCTCCCGATCAATTGCAATTAGTTTGCAGCAGATTGCATTAACGTATCTAAAATTAATACGGCCAGTGTTCTAATGAAAAGGAATTGACCACGGCCACACGGTGGCTGTTTTTATTCTCCTCAAATGTGCTTTTCAAACTGTGCTTTCTTCTTCTTTGCTTAATGGCTTCAAATTGGTATGTCAACATAGACTTAATCTATTGATCCTTCCCATTTGCCTTTTAAGACTGGGCCCAGATAATGGCACATGGGTAACATTAGTGCTTTCTTTCATTAGAGGGCTCTTATTAAATGCCTCAAACTTGTGTTTTTCTTGGGATGTTAGGTGGCATGCCACTGAGACGCCTAAGCCTGTGGATATGTTCATATAGGAAGTCTTGTGCTTTCCTAATCATGATTGTTTCACCAAGGCTTGAGATTGAGAAGTAAGAGTAACCACTAACCTACAGTTAAGAAATAACGTTGGCAAATGACGTAGCCTTGCTTGTCTGGCAGATAATGTTTACCCCAATGTTACTCTAGAGAAGAACTGCAGTCAACTTCAGCGTGGAAAACATCATTTCTAGTATTTGTGAGAGCGGAAGAGCTGTCTATAGGTTTGATCGATCGTTTGATCGTGTCAAATTTGAACTTTTTTTACAAGTGTGCATCATTCGTATGTATTGTTTTTCACATTTCTTTTTCAGATCTTAAGGACTAATTACTCTTCTATTTTGGCGGCACCAGTTCCTGGGGATGAAAGGTTGTTAGCACCGGGGACAAAAGGCAGGCTCTGTTCATTGGGCATCCGGCTGGTGTCTTCTTAATATTCCCCACGTGCCAAGCACCTTGGCAGTCTTCCTAAGTGTGTTGGTCAGCTTCATGGAGCTGTGATCAAAATACCCTCTGTAAGAGCAGCTTAGAGAAGGAAAAGTTTACTTTGGTTTGTGGTTTCAGAGGTTCAGTCCGTGGTTGGCCGAGTCCACAGCTCTGGGCCTCAGTGAGCAGCACATCATGGTGGAAGGGGCTGGTGGAGGAACGGTGCCCAGCACGCCCCAGTGACTGCTTCCCCCACTCACACCCCTCCTGCCTGTTCATTCAGATCATCAGTCTGTCCAGCAGGTGACCCACGGATGCAGCCAGGGCTCTCGTGGCACCACCGCCCCACCTCTGAACGTGGCTGCACTGTCTGACAGGCGAGTCCTGGGGAACCTTCCAGGTCCAGGCCGTAGCACCGAAGGTGCAGCAGTTGGAGACACCCTCTGCCCCTCAGTGGACCAGGCTAGTCCTGAGGTTCTAGGGCCTCTCTGGGTCCCCTTGTCTAAAAGAACTCATGAGTGCATCCTGGCTGGGAGGATTCCAAGGAAAACGACATTCTAAGAACATTCTAGAGGCCTTGAAAGGGTATGGTCCCGTGTGTCGATGCCCTGCAGACCCAGGGATCCAGGTGTGGGCAGTGTGCAGGTCCCAGGCCCCCGTCCAGAGCCTCACGTGATCATAGTGCCGCGTGGGGACCAGGAAGTTTGTCCTGACACCTTCTGGTGCCTGGCACGCAGCCCTCACTCCCTGTCGCCATTTGAAATTTGCATTCATGGTGTGTGTGTGTGTGTGTGTGTGTGTGTGTTTGGTTAAAATAGTACTTACTCATGAGGAATGTCAGTAGGTTTGTTTTTCTTTGTCTGTAAACTGGTCGCGTGCTGCCTGCCAAGGGCAGGGGAGGGCTGGCTGAGGGTTTCCCACTGTGTGCAGCCTCCTCACCTCTGTCCTCCGTGTCCCCAGGTGCCTCCTGTGACCGGCAGACGGTGGCTGAACCTGCAGGAGTACCAGAGCAAGAAGCTGATGTCGGACAACGGGGTGCGCGTTCAGAGGTTCTTCGTGGCCAGCACCGCGAGCGAAGCCCTGGAGGCGGCCAAGAGGCTGAGTGAGCCCTGGGGCTGCGTGCACTCGCTCGGGTGGAGCTCAGGGTGGTGGCTGGGCTGTGACTGCGTGGTCAGACACAGGTGCAGGGGCTCTTTGAGGGCGGAAGCGCTCATTGGGAATGGTGACTCTGAACTTGACATGGGCGTCCCTTCCTGGAGCTGTCTGCACCCCTCCCTGGTGTCCCACTGTGGCTCCGTGGCTGGGAGAAGCAGGGCTGAAGGGCGTGGAGAAGCCCACTGCAGGTGGGTCAGGACAGCGGCTGGCCCCTCCAGGCCTCCCCTGCATGAGCTGGGAAGAGCGGGGTGCAGACCCTGGCGGCACCTCTGCCTCCCCTACACTCTGTCCCTTTGTGTAAGGGTCAGCTTCCATCTCTGCCTCTGCTTTACAGCACGTGGACCGGCCATCGTGTTCCTCCCCAGCACTGGCCTGCGTCTCTGGGCGGCCGCACTTGTGGTGGTGGAGGTCTAACCAGTTCTAGGTGTGGACTGTGACATCCAGAGCCAGGTCTGCCCATTGCTGCTCAGTGACCGTCTGGTAGCAGATCAGATTCTTATTGTCTGTCTAGATTACCACTGTAGAATGTGTGCGCCACAGGGCTACGTTTTAAGCTTCCAGTGGTCATTTTGAAAGAAGCAACAAGAAATGGGTGAAGCTGACTTTAATAACACATTTTATTCACCCCGGTATTTCCAAATAGCAGCTGTTTCAACATGTCAACTGGAATTACGACGTTATCAGCGGGGAGGGATGCAGTGGTTCACACCCGAAATCCCAGCGACTCGGGAGGCTGAGGGAGGAGGATGGTAGGTCCAAGGCCAGCCTGGGCAACTTGGGGAGACTAAGGTTCCGGGGGAGCAGTCAGCGGGGGCGCCCCTGCTTCCATCCTCAGCACTACAGAGGAGGGCCTTTGTGTTTCCACCTGTCGTCTTCACCAGTCTGGCCCCTGCCTCTCGCTGCCCCTGGGTGGTGGTGTGTGGACAGTGCCTGCCCTTTGGCCAGGGCGGGTCTGGATGTGGAAGGGGCCATGTGCTTTCTTTGCCTGTTCCCTGCCAGAAGCAGAGGAGGTCCTGCGCCTGGTGGGTTTGTGCGAACAGGCCTGAGGTCGGCTCCGGCCGTCTGCCCTCCTGCAGGGTTGGTGCTGAGGCACTGCCCAGCCAGGCAGTGCGCTTCTTTTCTCTCCTGCGGCTTGTCAGCTGAAGAGTGTGTGGTCCCCTGCCTAGACAAGGGCCCCGTCAGCTCTGGGACTAGCTGCGGAAGACAGGGGAGCCCTCCCTCTAGAATGTTCTAGACAGTCACTGGTAGTTTTTAGATGCTAATGCAGAAATGGGGAGCAACTTGTACCTTAGGAAATGAAGACTGGTTTCAGTTTCAAAACTAAGTTTAGTCTTTGCGGTGAAGAACTGCGGTGACCTTAGCCCCGGCCTGTGCAGGACACGTGCCTACAGGAAGGGTCCTTCTGTTTGGTCTCCCTGTGGTTTGGGGATGGGGAAATGGGGGCAAAGCGGTGTGAAGTTCAGGCTGGCCTTTAGTCCTCATTCTCCCCTTATTAAAGGTGGTGAGGTGCTCGTACTCCGGGCCTCAGGGTCACTTCTAAGGGACTTTAGAAGCCCCTCCTGGCTCCCGCAGCCCGGTTGGCTTAGGTGCCTCACAGCTGAGATGACCTGTTGCAGATTTTCATGGGGATAAGGGCTCATGAACTGATCAGCCGCCTCATCATGGGCTTGTCTTAGAGTGACATCACCTCATGGTTGGGGACGTAGGCCGTGCTTTTCACGTTGTGTTTGCTCTGGAGGAGTTGGCAGTGTGGTGTACCTGTGGGCCAGGGGAACTGACGGTCCAGGTGGTTAAACTCAAACAGGGAAACTTCCAGGAAACCTCACTTGGTTCTTGAGGTGTGGTTTCAAGATCCGGAACACTGCAGGTGTGCACCCTCACCCTGCACACCTGGTGTCCCAGAGGGCCTGTGGCTGGCCCAGGGCCTCGCAGTGACCCTGCTCAGGGCTGGACAGGGAGGGGGGAGCTAATCCCAGCACCTCCTTTGAATGAGTGAACCTTTGAACTCAGCGGCTGTGTTAGCCCCAGGTCTCTTCTGGTCTCCGTTGTTGGATAGGTTTTGGGTTGAGAGGGAGTTCCCAGCCTGGAAGACGAGCTGAGAGACCAGTTCCAGCAGGTCGGAAGTGCACCAGGAAACACAAAGGAAGTGTGTGCCTACCACAACTGCCTGGAGAGAGGCAGCGAGAAGAATGTGGCAGAACTTCAGTGTTTGTGCAGAAGTGTTCTGGCAGAAGTTCAGTGTCAGGATGAGATCGACCAGAAGTGCAGAGGAGTGTACCAAGGAGATTGCAGGGTGGATCTCACACCCTCTTCCTGCTCGTCCTAGGATCATGGTTTCCACCAGTCACATGATGTCAGAACAGCAAAGTGCGGAGAATACCCGTGCATGAGGCACGCAGCGAGTCTTGCCTAAGTTTTCATTGCTGTCCTCACCAGGGGCATCTACTTCTAGGCGGTTGACTACTGTCCTGAGGCAGATTCCCAGATTAGAGACATCTGATGATCCGTGTCCTGTCAATCACGTGTTGGAGAGTTCGTAATTTAATTGCAGAGGTTTATAAATGACTGAAACGTATTTGATTTTCCTTTTACTTTGCTTTTTGGATGTACTTTGTTGTAAAATGACATTTTGTAAAGTACTTGAGGATGAGTGTTGATAATATCCACTGTGCTCTGTGTGGGTTGCTGCAGGTCTTTTGTCGGAACCCATGTTCCTGGCCAGCCATTGGCTGTCTGTCCCTGCCTCCCCTGGCCCCAGTGGACCTCGTCACCTCTTGGTTTCCCTGAACCTCCCCTTCCTCTTCTCTCCATCTTCCCCCCCCCGGGGCATCTCCAGATCGTCTGTGTGGCTTCTCGTCCACTCACCTGCCACCTTCTGCCTTTGTTGGGGCAGCACTGCTGTTTGGTAGGTGAGGAATCAGCAAGATGAGGTTAAAAACTTGCCAAGTTGCAGAGCTGTAACCAACAGAGCTGGGACTGGGACCAGCCAGATTAGATTTGGTGTCCTCCCATCTCTTTTCCTTGTTGCTGACTTGATGATGATATTCTTAGGGGACTGTTTTGTGTGGCTCAGCATTTTTCAGGTGGAGAATGTGTATTAATAAAATTAGAAGATTCGATTAGCACTGGGTGTGGCAGGTTCTAAGGTGCCATTTATAGAAACCATGATCTGCAGATATTTTCTTAATGATCCGTTTTGTTGCCTCTCTGGGCAGCAGAGCCGTTTGCTGTGGGTCGTGCAGAGCTCGTTAACGTGAACATTTGTTTAAAAAGGGCAGCACACAGCATTTTTTCCTGAAACGCAATGGATAACAATAAGACATCGCGCGGGAGCCTCATTTTCTTGTGTGGAAAATGGACTTATGTCTGATTGAGAGTGAATCTGGCTTGGTGAATTAAGATCTCAGTGGGTGGATGGTGTCCATTTCTGTAGCAGTTCATAGGGAACCTTCAGATGAAAATTAATGAATACCACTGGCGGCTAATTACAGCGCACCTACTGTGTGAGCGTGTGATCTTCTTGTTGCCTTTCAGTCCTCATCACAGACGAGCAAAGGGTCATTTCTAACTCTCCACGAGAGCCTGTCTTCAAAGAGGATTTGCATGCCAGCATCGTGAAACTTACCTCGACCTCTCAGTTTTTGGAGTCTCTATGACTTAATTAATTCTTCCCTCCATGTGGACAGGAGGCTCCCAACATTTGATTAAGCAAGAAAAGAGTATTTCAAAATCTCCACGGTTTTATGTTTTTGCCATAAAAGAAAATTGAAATATGAATGGAGAAATTAATCTTCTTTGAGCTAATGACATGCACCCTAAAACGCAGATAAGGAGTTTTATCGAACGTGGCTAGCTTGGATTGCTTTCAGCTCCAACACGTTGCAATTCGTCAATATGATAACTTACTCTTTTTATTTTGCATAGTCAGGTCCCCCAGCCTGGTGGATCGGCTGCACCATCGAGGACCTGCCGTCCATGGCTGATGACTGACAGTACTGTGAACACGGCCGGCAACTGAATGTCTTGATAGATGAGGCTTTGTCTGTCACGTTAATGTGGCTAGGATCTTGCAGAAAAATCTTTCGTCCTTTGTGTTGAGATGATGTTCCTTTTTGTCCTTCAGTGTCAGGCCACGATGTTGCTGGTTTCTGTGAATTAGACCTGCATTTTCCTAGCACACCAGTGGCCTGTTGCCGTCTGGAATGGGTAATGCAGAGACACTGCTCATGGATGGCAGGCGTGACCTCTCAGAGGCTGAAGTAGTGTCCACCCTGGGTGAGAGGTGACTGTGCCCGCTGTGGGTCCCTTTGGCTCTTTCCTGTTTTCTGAGCCTGGTTCTCCTACCTTCTTGGACGGCGAGCTTTCTGCTGATTGAACTCAGCGTCCCCGCTCATGCAGATGGAGTGTCTGTCACAGGTCCCCAGACACAGCAGGTGGCCCACCATCCATTACTGTGATCAGGAGACCTCCCCTTGCCAGTGTGTACTCACGATGCCCCTTAAGGGGGTGCCTGAGTTGAACTTAGCGGTTTGCCTGAACTGCATTTATGAAGAGGATTCCACTCCACAAGTTGTGGCTTTTATCACATTTCCTACTGTATGTGTATTTGCACGGAGAGCCCCCTTTACACACACACACACACACACACACAATTTTAGTTGTAGATGGACGCTATGCCTTCACTTTATCTATTTATTAATTTTAATGTGGTGCTGAGGTTGGAACCCAGCACCTCACGCGTGCAAGGCAAGTGCTCTGCCACGGAGCCACAATCCCACCCCGAGGAGGGCCTCTTTTTCTAAAGTCATCTTTTTTATTTTCCTGAGTCTGTGCGTGTAGATGGGGTTCTTGGTCTTCTCCTTCCATGTTTCTGAGTGCTGAGTGAGGATGTCTTGTCATTAATTGCCTGCTCATGTGCCTGAATAGGAGCAGCCAGAGAGCTGTGGA